CTCTGAGTGTCCGTATGCGTTACTCTTTCCTCCTAGTTGTAGGACTTCCACTCAGCCAGCGTTCCTGTGGGTCTGGGTGACGTCCCTTCCGTCTTTTAGTTTCACTTTTGAAATGGTTGTTCGAGGCGGCAAACTCCGGCGTTAACCTATGCCGCCATCTTGGTTCTCCTCCTTTCTCTCTCTTTATTTCTTGATGTATCTGGCTAAAGGTTCATCAATCTTGTTTATCTTTTCAAAGAACCACCTCTTGGTTTCATTGGTATTTTGTATTTTCTTTTTTAGTCTCTATGCCATTTATTTCTGCTCTAATCTTTATGATTTCCTTCCTTCTGCTTACTCTGGACTTTTCTCGTTGTTCTCTGTAATTCTTTAAGTTGTAGGGTTAAATAGTTTATTATTAATTTTTCTTGTTTTTTTGAGATAGGCCTGAGGTGCTATAAACTTTCCTCTCAAGATTGTTTTTGCTGTGTCCCATAGATTTTGGGTTGTCATGTTTTTATTTTCATTTGTTTCCAGGAATTTAAAAAAAATATTTTTATTGATTTTAGAGAGGGAGAGGAAAAGGGAGAGAGATGGAAACGTCAATGATAAGAGAAAATCATTGATTGGCTGCCTCCTGCACGTCTGTAAGATACTGCTAACTGCCTACAGTGGGGACTTAGAGGGCAGTGAATTGAATTTGACCTCAGATGACATGTTTGGGATAATTTATAATTACTTTTAAAGATTAGTTTTAGAAGTGCTATACTAAAATATTTTTTATTGAAGATAAAAATTGTTACCTGATCTTTGGAAGATGTCAATTTTGACTGTAACTTTACAGAATTTGAACTTTTCTTTATAGTTTTGGCTCCTTTTATGTTTCTTTGTTTTATGTATATTGTGTGACTGACTTCTTCAGTAGCATTTTATGAGATTAAATTGCAGAAAGAATATAATTTATGGGCCTTGAGATCATGAAGAAGATGGAACCATATATCTGAGTTGTTAGCCTTGTCTGTCTCAGGGGCAGGGTGACAGACTACACATGAAATGCTCTTATGGGTCACGTTTCTTAAAAGGTGATTTTGTACCTGAAACTTACTTTTCTATCTCAGATATTAAGTATTTCACTTAATATAATTTATCACCAATGGAAAGATATGAGTCTGAATTCATTTTATTAGTCCTTCTCTGTTTTATAAAGTACTTTAAAACTTGTTTTTTTGTTAATCATTTAAAAAATTATATATGTACTTGATGTTAAAAAATCAGAAATGACAGAATTGCACAACGTAGAATGTGAAAGGTCCCTTCTCCCTCTGCTTCACGCAATTTAGACACTGTTAACTGTTTAGGGTGTGGAAGTAGTGGTGTTTCAGAGAGCTTTCTACATTATTTCTAATTGGAAAATCTCATTTCAGGTTCTCAGCAACATTCATACAGTCAGAGCCACATGGCAGCCTAAAAAGCCCAGAACATGGACCTTTTCTCCCCAGGTGAGTCATCTACTGAGTGAATGGAGTGAAAGATGAATGTCTTTTACCTGTTAAGTGTCATGCAATTAATTTCTAAGGTGAGGCTGTCAAAGTGTATTTCTGAAATGATATACTATAATGTTTAGCACAGACTATATGGGATCATATTTAAATCTTTAGATTATTTAATGTTCTTTGAGGACTTCGACAAAAATTACTCATGTTTCTGACTCAGCAAAGTTATAATTCCTTGAATCAACTCATTCAGTGGATTTTAGGATTCTATTCTGAAAAATGCTCGCTGGAGGGAGATTCCAAGATGGCTGCAGACTAGCAGGAAGCTCTGTCCACTTGCTTCCAGCACCAGATTGGGTTTGTGGCTAAATTGCAGAGCATTCAACTTGAAAAGCCAGTTGAAATGTAGCTGATCTGAATTATTGTGAGTGGGGAGTGTGGAGAGGGGACAGGAAGAGATGAGGAGAGGGTGAGCTGCGTGGCTGGGAAGCCAGAGGGAAGGTGTGGCAGTCCAGCCCCCGTCCTCTGGTATCATCGGGCAGTGGTGTATCGATCCACTTGAGAGTCTCAGACCACACCACCACATGCAAAGAGTGATTGCTTTGTCACAACACCAGCCTGGGAAGTTCACCTCTGCCTGTGTCTATGGGAAGAGCCGTGCATTGGAATTTGGGACTGGCAGAAGGGTCTGACCAGTACACCCAGAAGTGAATCTGAGGGACCCTGTATTCTGCAGAAGAACTTTTTGTGGCATTCAGGTGGGGAGCTGGACAGCATTGGAACAAAATCCAACAAGCTCCACAAGTAGCAGATCCAAAGTTTCTTTTCTTTCTTTCTTATTTTTTTTCTTTCATAATGTTTGTTTCTTTCTTCCCTTTCATTCTATTTTTTTCTTTCCTTTTTTTTTTAGTTTTTATTTATTTTATTTTTTCCTTTTCTGTGATCCCATGGAAGAGGATCAGTCCTGTCTACCTTGAGTGTAGGACAGGTGCCCCTTCTCCCACCAGGGCAACAGCTGGTTCTGCCCCATCCTGCTATAACCTGAGACCAGAGGGAATGGCTCTGGGCTGGATATCTGTGTCCATGTGACTGGGTCTGGCAGCATAAGGAACTTGGATATTTGGCCAGATCTGAGCCTGGGCGGAGGCCCTGCTGAAAGATTGGCGTGTGTAGTGTGGATGATTTTTATTTTTTTAAAAAAGGCCTTTAGCTTGGGGTGGCAGAAAGGGGATGCCAATGAACCAGGCAGAGCTGAAGCATTTGAAGGAGAGGAAGTGCCTGCCACCGCCTCTTACAAGGTATAGATACCACCCCCAACACAAATCTGTTTAAACCATCCTGACCAGAACCTAGATACCCCTACAGAGCCCAGTTCTGTGGGGGAAGTGAGAGCAGCTCACAATAGACATATTCAAGATACAAGACCTGAGGCAGACCCAGCCTCTGTCCTATAGAGGCCCTACCCCGTGGACTACTTGTGGCTCTGCCCTGGCATGGTTCAGTCAGGTTGCCCAGGGCCAGGCAGGAACAGTGACTCACAATGGTTTTTTTAAAAAAATATATTTTATTGATTTTCTACAGAGAGGAACGGAGAAGGACAGAGAGCCAGAAACATCGATGAGAGAGAAACATCAATCAGCTGCCTCCTGCACACTCCCCATTGGGCATGTACCCGCAAGCAAGGCACACGCCCCCGACTGGAATCGAACCCGGGACCCTTGAGTCCGCAGGCCGACGCTCCATCCACTGAGCCAAACTGGCCAGGGCGTCACAATGGTTTTGACAGAACAAAATAAGACCAAACCTGAAACAACATGAAACTCAACAACAAAAGACTAAAAAAAACGATACTAAAAGACACAAGACCAAAATAATTAGAAGAAACAAACAAACAAACAAACAAACAAAGAAAGAACTGAAAAAAGAGAATATGAAAGATGGAACAGAAATAGAATAAGAATAAATAAAAGAAAAAATTAATGAAATAATACTAATTTTTAAGCAGTAATAATAATGAATAAAATAAATCTAGCATAGGAAAAGAAAAACAGGAAAAGAAAAGAGAAAAGAAAAAATAAATTAAAAATAAAAACTAAAAAAAGGAAAGAGAAATAGAAAAAAAAAGAACAGAATGAAAGGAAATAAATAAAAGATATGAAAGAAAAAAGTTAAGAACAAAAGGAAAAAAAAATCTTTGGATCTGTTACTTGTGGAGCTAGTTGGATTTTGCTCCAATGCTGTTGAATCTGCCCCCATGATGTGTCAGTCCCGGGTGGCATGACATGGTTGGGGTTGAGCCTCCCAGTTGGCAAGCCTGAGTGCTGAACCCTCCCATGAATGGGACAACAGCAATGAAGACCCAAATACAACAGTAGGGCCCACATAACCCACACAAGGGACATTCCTAGAGCACCCAGCTCAGAAGATCAAGGAGATTGCACTACTGGGTCCCACAAGAAGGCCACTGCCCCAAGACTGGGAGGATAGCAGCCTTATCCAATACACAGAAATAAACACAAAGAAATAGCACAAGTGGGAAAACAAAGAAATAGGCCCAAATGAAAGGACAGAAGGAATCTTCAGAAAAAGAGCTAAATGAAAGGGAGGAAAAGCAATTTATTGGAAACAGAGTATCAAGTAATAGTTTTTAGAATGCTCAACAGCATGAAAAAGATATAGAAATAATGAAAAACAACAAATCAGTAATGAAGACTAACATCTATATATATAAAAGCCAAAGCGACTGAATGACCGAACGACCAGTCGCTATGATGCACACTGACCATCAGGGGACAGACGCTTAACGCACAGGATTGGGCTCTCTCCTGTCTGGATTGGGCCTGTGGGGATTGGGTTCCCTCCTGTCTGGATCAGGTCTGCAGCGATCAGGCCAAAACTGGCTATACAACATCCCCCAAGGGACCCCGGATTGCAAGAGGGTGCAGGCCAGGCCAAGGAACCCCACCGGTGCATGAATCCATGCACCGGGCCTCTAGTAGCTGAAATAAAGAATACACATTAAGAGTGGTTAGAGGAAGCAGAGGATTGAATCAGCAAATTAGAAAACAAGGTAGAAAAAAACAATCAGAGAAGTAAAAAGAAAAATAGTTAAGAAACATGGGGATGGTTTATGGGATTTTTGGGACAACATGAAACAGAACAACATCCACATTATACTGGTATGAGAGGGAGAAGAAAGTGAGCAAGGGCTAGAACCTGTTTGAAGAAATAATGACAGAAAACTTTCCTAACCTGGTAAAGGAAAGAGTCATTCAAATTCAGGAAGCACAGAGAGTCCCAGTAAAGAGGAACACAAAGTTCCACATCATAATTAAAATGGCAAATGTTAAAAACAGATATCTTAAGGGCAGCAAGAGCGACAGTAAGTTACTTACAAGGGAGTTTCTATAAGGCTGTCAACTGATTTCTCAACAGAAACACTACAGGCCAGAAGGGAATGGCATGAAGTATTCAAAGTAATGTAAAGCAAGGCTCTGAAACCAAGATTACTCTCTCCAGCAAGGCCATCATTCAAAATTGAAGGTGAAACGGATTCCCAGACAAAAAAAGTCTAAAGGAGTATATTAACCCCAAACCAGCATTGCAAGAAATGTTAAAGGGCTGCTGCAAGAAAAAGAAGAAACAGAGAGAGGAGCACTGGCATAAAGAATAAAAATGGCTTTAAATAAGTACCTATCAATATAACTATAAATGTAAATGGCTTAAATGCTCTAATAAGAAAACAGGTTAGCTGAATGGATAAGAAAACATGGCCCATATATATGCTGTCTATAAGAGACACACTTCAGAACAAAAGACTCACACAAGATGAAAGTGAAGAGATGACCTTGGCTAGTGTTTCTCAGTGGTTAAAGCATTGGCCTATACATCAGAGGGTCGTGGGTTGCGGGTGTGCTTCCATCCCTGGTCAGGGTGCATGTAGGAGGCAGTCAGTCGATATGTCCCTCTCTCTCTCTCTCTCTCTCTCTCTCTCTCTCTCTCTCTCTCCCCCTCCCTCCCTCAGCATGAAAAAGATATAGAAATAACGAAAAACAACAAATCAGTAATGAAGACTAACATCTATATATATAAAAGCCAAAGCGACTGAATGACCGAACGACCAGTCGCTATGATGCACACTGACCACCAGGGGACAGATGCTTAACACACAGGATTGGGCTCTCTCCTGTCTGGATTGGGCCTGTGGGGATTGGGTTCCCTCCTGTCTGGATCAGGTCTGCAGCGATCAGGCCAAAACTGGCTATACAACATCCCCCAAGGGACCCCGGATTGCAAGAGGGTGCAGGCCAGGCCAAGGAACCCCACCGGTGCTCCTTCCCTCCCTCCCTCCATCCCTCTTTTCCACCCTCTCCCTCTTCGACTCCCCCCGCCTCTCTCCCCTTACACTTTCTCTGAAAAGCAATGGGAAAAAAATCCTCAGGTGAGGTTTAAAAAAAAATGCCCTTTGATGTAAAATGAAAACATAAAGGTACCGTTTAGGAGATGCTTTTCAAAAATGAAATCTGTGTTAATGAGAGCTGTACTTTCTTCAGATAAAATCGAGGACTGTCAAGACTGGAACAAAAAGGACTGGCATTTAGCCCAGTGATTTCACACCACTGAGTCAGTACTGCATAGGGGGCAGTGAAGGCAAAGATGTCTATGTTCTCTTTTTTTTTTAAGTTGTATTTATTGGTGCTACTTGCAAGAGGAGAGGCCATCCAACATGGGGAACTAGTAAAGGGATGTTAGGAAGGGCTTGTTATGGGATTAGACCTTGTGTTAGGATTTTGAGCATCTAGAGAAATTTTGAATTGGGTGCTCTCAGAAACTGGAGCAATAATTTGGTATCTTCATAAATTTAATCTGGGAAGCAGGAGAAACAAAGAGGTTAAAATTCTATTTGGGATTAGATTCCAGCATAAGATGGTGGCTGGCAGAATGGAGGTGAGGGATAGGAAGTGAGTGAGTGAGGGGATGAATGGAGAGTGTGTGGGTGTGTGTGG